CTGTCCAAGGAGCAGTGGCTATCCGGTGAGGTGGAGTGTGTGTGTGCGCGCATGCGTGTGAGAGAGAGAGAGAGAGAGAGAGAGAGAGAGAGAGAGAGAGAGAGAGAGAGAGAGAGAGAGAGATCCAAGATATTGGCTGAATATGCACAGGGGGTACAGAGGCGGAGTTTAATTGATACAGTTTTATCGTAAAGTATTTAGTTGCAACTTTGCAAACAAGATATTTTGTTGTAGATGGTTGATAAAAGATATTTGGGTGTATCTTATCTATATAAGGGGAGTGGCCGTGGCATAGCGGCTAGACGCTCGCATGCGGATCGGAAGGTTGTGGGTACGCTTCCTGGCTGAGCCAGACTTTTCTAAAAAATGACCTTGGCTCCCAGGTCGACTCAGCCAGGAGTGGGTACCGGGTGCAGCCCCGGGAAGTAAAGGCGGCCGGCGTGATGCTGACCACATCACTCATCTTGTGCCGATTGTTCTATAAAATTGTAAGTCTAGTCCTATATGCCCTAACGCCTAAAGTCGTGGAAAAGAGACCTTTACTTTACTCACTTTTCGATATAGGTTTAGTTAACTAATCGATAGTAGATGTTTGGCTATAGCTTACTGACAGAAGAGCGAGAGAAACACTGGGCATACAAAAAAGAATAATCAGTCAACAAAGAACTGGCACAATTAGTCACAGGGCGCTAGAGTTCATACTTAGGGAAGGATCTGAGCACCAATGAACATGTCCGGAGTGCAATGATCACATCCCAACTAACTAACCGACGAGTTGACAGAAGATATTTCGTTTAGCTATTCATTAGCAAATGTTAGGATATAGTTGTTCGATAACGGATGTTTGGTTATAGCTGTTTGATAGATCATTTGTTGTAGCAAATCGATAGAAGATGTTTACTTATATCTTTTCATTAAAAGATGTTTGAATGTTGTTATTCGATAAATGATGCGTACTTTTAGCTGTTTGATACAATATTGTTGGTTGTAGCTGTTCGTTAGAAAATGTATGTTTGTATCTGTTTGACAAAAAATGTTTTTTTGTAGCTGTTTGATTAAAAAATAAAATTTAAAAAAAAAGACGATTGATTGCGGTTAATCAATAGAAAGTAAAGCTAAAAAGGTAAAGTCGGGAGATGTCAAACAGCGTCGCTGCACACGGTTATAAATCATACGGGCTCTGCCACTAATACTGACCGCTGGTAAGAAACTGCCCGCTTGTGTCGCCGTCCGCAGGCAACTCCGTAGCTACAGCGACGTTCCTCCACATACCCCAGAGTGTTAACTCTGGTACCCATTACCTAGAGGCTGGGTGAACCCCGGGAACCGCCCGGTTTTGAACACCGGCCGTGGGCTGCAGCGAGTCGCAGCTGGATTTGAAAGCGAGTCTGCTATCGACTGCGATAGAAGATAACTGTTTGATAGGAGATAAATGGCCATAGCTGACCTTGACTCCCAAGTCGACTTAGTCTTGATTGGGTCCTGGGTGCAGTGCAGCAAAGTAAAGGCAGCCGGCGTAATGCTGACCACATCACAAATCTTGTGCCGATTGGTCTATAAAAATGTAGGTCTAGCCCTATATGCCCTATAGGCCTAATGGCGGGGGAAAGGGACCTCTACTTTTTTTTCTTTAGTTATAGCTGTTTAAAAGAATGTATTTGTTTGTTTCTGTTCAATAGAACATGTTTATCTGTAGTCGTTCCATAGAGCATCTTTGTCATACGTCCCGGTGTGATCCTCATCCGAATGGTGGCACTTTGTGTCGCTGGGTATTTGTCGCTCGTTGTCATGTCATGGTTGGGGCGAAAGTTATCATCACCATCAAAAGTTCAACTTTGGTATTAGCTGTTTTGTAGGGGTCAACTTATTTCAGTTCCTGGTGTTAGCAGTTGCTGTTTACTTATCCCCATGACATATTTCCTGTCTCTCTTCTCTTTGTGACCATGAGCTTAGATACATCATCATCATCATGTGCCCTGCCAACAAGCGTAGGCGCTCATGCGTCTCCACGGATCACGATCCCTGGTTGCCTGGAATAGATCCCTTGATGACACCGCTCTATGCCATCGTTTCAGCCCATCCAGCATCATCTATCTTGGTCTGTCTCCACCCTAATTCCCTCTGATCTTTCCAGTTGTCATGATGTTCTCCAATGTTTCTCTTCTCATTATGTTGCCAAAGAACTGTGTTCGTCTCTTTTTTATTGAACAGAGATCTACTTCATTAGCTTTTTTCAAGCAATCGTTGTTAGTTACTCTGGCCGTCTAAGATATTCGTAACATTCGTCTAGATACATACATTAACATTATCAACAGTCAATAATAGTTTGAAGTCTGACCTTCAGTGTCGGCGACTACAAGCTGATCGAGGGGTTTCCAGGAGCTTACCAAGAGCGCTATGAGATCGGAGCTAAGGACCAAGGGTTTGCGGGTACATACACGATTGAGCTGGTGTTTGAGTGGGTAGCGCAGAGTCCCTATAACGACACCCTAGCAGCAAAACTTCTGTTTAATCTGAAAGGTAAGTAAAAAAGTAAAGATAATTTTTCAGCGTTTATGTGCATAGGGCATATGGGAAGAGCACCCATATTTTGTACAGACCAGTCGGCATTAATTAGCATTATGCCGGCTGTTTTTACTTTCCCATGACATACATCCTGGTACCCATTTTAGGCTGGGTCGACATGCGACGCCCCATACCATGATAACAATCCACGCAGCCAGCAGTGGGTTTGGAACGCGGTACGTTCAAATTACGAGTCGGACTCGCAACGCCTAAGACACCAATCTGATAGGTAACTATAGTAAAGTAAAGGACCCTTTTACACGCCTTCAGACATATAGGGCTAGTTCTGTTCTGTGCTGTTAAGGTCTAGTTCTGTTCTGTGCTGTAAAGGTCTAGTTCTGTTCTGTGCCGTATAGATCTAGTTCTGTTCTGTGCCATCTACACAAAGAAGATACAGCTAGCTACAGTGTACCACTGCTGTCTTTGGGAATATTGCCTGGTGAGTTCCTAATCTCTTGCCCGGTGCGACTCTCGTACCACTGTCCGAAAACCACAGAACGGATTTTTCCCTATCCACCGCGGAGAGCTAACCACAGTACTTGAGGATCATGGAATTTTTAAGCGCATTCGCTAGCCTCTAAACGACAGACCCTCATACGGATATATTTATTTTATTGAGTAAACGGCACCTGTGAGTGATGTAATCAGCGGCTGCCTTTACTTCCCAAGACTTTACCTGGTACCCAGTTAAAGCTGGTCGACCTGGCAGCCGAGGTCATTAAGAAAAAAAAAATCATGCTGCGTCAGGATCCAAAACCATGCCCTTCCGATCCACAGACGAGAGTCTAGCCTTGACACCACAGTGTCTTCCGAACGGTTAGTATCGTTTATCTACTGCTGGAATAATATCGCGGTCTAAAGGCAGGAAGTGATCTCAAGAACGGATCTTACTGTTAGCTTCGTATATAGTACTTTTCAGTGTCTCTGATATTTCTGCTGTCCATATTCTGCGTGGTCGACCTCTAGCTCTGTTACTGTTGTATCTATATTACATTGCTCTCTGTGGTGCCCTTTCTTCTGCCACTCTTATTATATGGTCAAAAGTTTAATATCTTCTTCTTTTGTCGTCTCTCTGTTACCTTGTTGTAACCCAGTGTCGTGGTTTTCTGTATTTGTTTTGTGCTTCTCGACTGGCTTGAGTGATATATTTGTTCCATTTTTGGCATGTTTCATCTACACCGTTTATTAATATTTTTCTTGGTCTTCCTCTCGCTTTTCTCCAAGATGTTCTACTGTAAAAAGTCTCGTATGCAGTCTGGTCTGGCTGTATTCTCACTAGATTGCAGAACCATTATTTTTTTTGTGTCAATATAATCCAGACATGATCTTATTCTAACTTATTTTCTAATGCTGGTATTCATAACACTGTTTCGTCTAGTGTTGTTTTGGAGTTAAATATCTACCCCTCTAGAACAACTGAGAAAAAATACCTAACATCCCCCCCCCCCCCCCCCGCTCCCCCCCCCCTCCAAAAAAAAAACGGTTGACATCTCAAAGACAGCAAAGGACGAACAACCAAAAAAAACAAAACTTTAAAGAGTAGGTGGGGATAGTGGTGTCTCTAGATCTGATTAGACAACAGGTGAAAGGATTCGATCAGCTAACCCAATTGCCCAATATATAACCCAATATATATATATATATATATATACATATGTAGTGGGAAGTATAGGTGGCCGGCGTGATGACGATCATATCACACATCCTGCGCCGATTGGTCTATAAAATGTAAATCTAGCTCTATATGCCATATACGTCTAAAGGCATAAAAATGTGTCCTTTACTTTAATATATATATATATATATATACACACACACACACACACATATATATGTATGTCATCATATATGTATTTATATATATATATATATATATATATATATATATATATATATATATATATATATATATATATATACATATATGATGACATACATCATACATATATTGTCCCGCGAGCAATAATCTACAGACCAACTGAATATGAAAGGAAAATTCGACAATTCAAACACTGGGCTCCGGGAGTAAGAGATTACTAGAAACCCACTCACAAATTTAACATTAAAGTAAAATTTGAACAAAGAAGACACAAACAATAGATTGCACGTTTATTGCCTGGCATATTTCTCTGTATCTCGTGACTTCCATGTTACAATTGTTAGTCGATTGTTACTGTAGTATGCACCTGACAAAATTCAGTAAAAACTCGGGAGGATCTACTTCGTTGCCCCGGGTTATCTCAAACGTATCGGTCTCACTCCGAATAGCTATTCGTCTGCCACGTGCGTCGCACAAACTACTAACTCCGTGGCTCCAGGTTCTCTCAAAAATTTGTGAAGCGTCTGTGACATGAACCCGCTGCTTCCATAGCACGCATCTTCGTCTTCTTTCTAGGTTTACCAGCAGTAAACTCCAGTAGAAAATCTAGGGCGTTCGTCCACTTCTAAACTTTAGTGTTGTTCCAGAACATGAGTTTTGTGAGAATACCAGTTCTACAAATCTGGCTTGTTTCTATGTCAAATGTCGATTCCTCGCCAATCAGGCAGATACACTTCAACTTAAGGGGGAAGCACTCCTAATTAGTTGACCTTTATGACATGTTTATTAAAGTGGCAGTAGATATAACTATATATATTTTGCCCCCTAATAACAAGTAAAGTGAAGGTCCTTTTTCCACGCATTTAGGCTTATAGGGCATGTAGGGCTAGACCTATATTTTATAGACTAATCGGTACAAGATGGGTGATTTAGACCTGGGTCGACCTGGGAGTCAAAGTCATTTTTGAAACACCAGGGAGCGAATCTATAACCTTCTGATCCGCACGCTATCGTCTAACCGCTACGCCACGGTGGCTATCTTGCCCCACAATGGGACCCAGGAACCCACACAGGCAATTCGCACATAAAAAGCAGACATACTAACAACTGACAGTGGTGTGGAACGGTAGTCATGTGGTGACGTTGGCAATTGACTATTGTGGGGAAGCAGTAGAGATGTAGTGATGTTGACATTTGACAAGTGTGTGAAAGCGGAAGTGATGTGGAGATGTGGGCAATTGACAACTGTGTGGCAACGGTAGAGATGTTTGTAATTGGCAATTGTGTTGAAACGGTAGAGATGTACAGATGTTGGCAATTTACAATTGTGTGGAAGCTGTAGAGATGTTGGCAATTGACAATTGTGTGGAAGCTGTAGAGATGTACAGATGTTGGCAACTGACAATTGTGTGGAAGCTGTAGAGATGTACAGATGTTGGCAATTGACAATTGTGTGGAAGCTGTAGAGATGTACAGATGTTGGCAACTGACAATTGTGTGGAAGCTGTAGAGATGTACAGATGTTGGCAACTGACAATTGTGTGGAAGCTGTAGAGATGTACAGCTGTTGGCAACTGACAATTGTGTGGAAGCTGTAGAGATGTACAGATGTTGGCAACTGACAATTGTCTGGAAGCTGTAGAGATGTACATATGTTGGCAACTGACAATTGTGTGGAAGCTGTACAGATGTACATATGTTGGCAACTGACAATTGTGTGGAAGCTGTAGAGATGTACAGATGTTGGCAACTGACAATTGTGTGGAAGCTGTAGAGATGTACAGATGTTGGCAACTGACAATTGTGTGGAACCTGTAGAGATGTACAGATGTTGGCAAGTGACAATTGTGTGGAAGCTGTAGAGAGGTACAGATGTTGGCAATTGACAATTGTGAGGAAACGGTAGAGATGTTGGCAATTGACAATTGTGTGGAAGCTGTAGAGATGTACAGATGTTGGCAATTGACAGTCACGTGGAAGCGGAAGAGATGTGTAGATGGTGAAAATTTACAATTGTGTGGAATGAGTAGAGATGTGGCTTTATACACGAATAATTAGAATAGCCTGGAGAGATTGCAAGAGTAAATGAGATATCTTGAAAGCTAAAGGCAAAGGGGAGAGGATAGACTTGATTGCATTGGGTCTTATCCCAGATGACTCAGTCTCTCTACGCAGAACAGTAAGCTGCCTTCTGAGAGCGTCGCACAGTAGCTCCGGTGAGGATGCTCAGATTCTCTATGAAAATGTAACTCTTGAACTGAAAGGGGCCGCCGTGAAACGAACCCACGACCCTCAGAGTGTGGGGCAAACGGCTTGACCACTTCGCCATGAAGACCCCCCACCCCCCGCCCCTTTGTCTGAGATATCTTGAAATAAATTAACTATGGGAGAGAACTGATTGTCCCCCATCAGGTCATGACAATCTACACTCCTTGGTTGCGGCATGGGAAAGGGAAAACTCCCAGGAGTACATCCTGACGGTGTGAGAAGAGGGAAAGGGCAGAGGGAGAACGAGAGGAAAGATGCTGGACAGTTTGACGTAATGTCGTGGACAATCATTTGTATCAGAACTGACTGAACGCACACCAGACAAAGAAGGTTGTTGATAGACGTGACTGTCAATATACATTGTATGGAAGATCATCAGTGTCAGAATAGATTGAACGTACACGAGACAAAAGGTTGTAGGTAAAGATGACTACCAATGTACACTGTATGGAAGATCATCAGTGTCAAAATCGATTAAACGTACACGAGAAAGAAGTGAATGGATAGAGATGCCTACCAATGTACACTGTATGGAAGATCATAGATGTCAGAATCGATTAAACATACATGAGACATACGATTATGGCTAGCAATGCTACAAGGCATGGGTTATAAAAAAAGAAGAAACGATGACATATTTACATTTTTTTTTTTAAACAGATGACCCTTATGAAGAGAACAACCTGTATGACGAGCTGCCTGAAGTAGTCCGGAGATTTCAAGACAAGCTGAAGGAGTACAGGAAAGGATACGTGTCTCCAAACTTCCCCGCGGACAGCGAACTCTCAAACCCTGAAAACTATGGCGGATCATGGTCGCCTGGTTGGTGCGAGAGAGATGAGATCTGATCACATAACTTGTAATTTGTGTTGTGTTTTGAACTCATTCAGTAGCATAAACTCATCATTTCCAATTCCAATTGCAGTTGTCCAAAAAAAATTCTAAATTTGATCCTTTTTCAGCTGCCCAGAAGCCTGCTATATGAAGGAAGGTTCCTTGGATATCTTATTTGGTTTCCTTTTATTTGTGGTGTGTAGTCACACCTGATATTCCGGTTCTTTGCTTCCTAAGTCAGGTGTGGTTGTAGTGAATCTCATTTTCTCCTAGATAAATTATGCCTAGACAGAATGACGTCAGTAATAAATGTAAGTGGAATATTTTGAGTCTAACTGGGACAGCACGGGAATTACTCATAGTCTATAGTCAATGGTTGTAATCTGTTCCAATCAATCTAGGAACGAACAAACGAACGAACAAACTTTATTTTCAAAGGGTCACAAATTGGGCACGCAGGCCCGTCTTACATTCGGCCCTTCCAGTCAACCATCTTTCACACAGCAATTGTATTTTACTAATAAAGCATGTTATGATCATATGATTCTTCTTCTTCTTCTTTCGTTCGCATGAAATAAATTGTCTATATCTGCAAAGCTGTCTCTAGTATGAATTTCACTGTCTTTTGTAATTCACTAAGCGGCCCGTAAAGTTTGACTTCCACAAGTGTCTCTTTTGGCCAAAGGTTTTGCCTGAAAGCGTTGAATCTGGGACATTCTTGAAGGATGTGATCTGTTGTTTCAGGTGCCAGTCCACAAGTACACATGGCTGATTGGCCAATCTTAAATTTGTTGTACATGTGGGAGCGAAGTCGATTGTGCCCTGTTCTAAGGCGAAGGATAATGACTTGCTCTGGTCTGTCCATAATATGGTAATCATCTTGTGCCAGTTTCGGTGGCATTCTGATTGATTTGATCATTCTCTTCTTCTGTTGATAAGAGACTGGTATGTTAGGTTGTTCTTCAGTTGCACCTTCCTTAGCTAGTTTATCAGCTTTTTCGTTTCCGGGAACTCCATAGTGGGAAGGTATCCACTGCATTACTAATTTACAGCGGTTGCCTAGTTCGGATAATAGTGTCCGTTGATGATATGCATATTATTAATATTATAAAAGAACACAAAAGCATGAGTTGTAAAGTACATGCAAAAACCCGCGCGTGCATACATACACCCACTCACTTACATACACATACATGCATACATTGCATACATACACACATACAGGCATACATACATACACACATACATACAAACAAACATGCATACACACATACACACAGGCATACACAAGGACACAGACGCAATTATTTGCAGACACACACGCCGACAAACAACATACTTAGAGTCATATGTATACAAACACGCCAGCACATACATACATATCACGCACACACGCGCGCGCAAACATACATATCATACACACCTTGTTTAATAATAAATTGATAATGCAATATGGTATAGGAAGAGTGGGTAGCCATCCCACAGTTCCATGTCAGACATCTGATCGCATCTGTTTACATGAGATGCCAGTCACTGTTCATGCAAACAGTTCACGATACTGACGGGACAGAACGTACGTCTGTAAATTATGGTGAACCAGACGAAAGAAGCCATGACAATTGATTGATGGAGCCCTAAAGTATTGTTATGTGAGATTTTAGTAATTTTACTTCTTGCATTACAAAGATGCTGTATGTCAAAATTGCGACTATGTATGTTCCTTTCAGTAGCTATGTGTTTTTTTTTTTTTAACAGTATAATTGGAATTTCATGTGTTAGGTCTAAAAAAAAAATTAAAAATTTAAAAACTTTAATTAAACATTCACTAACATTGATGTCAAACCTACATATGTGCACTCAAGAAATCGATACAATGAGATAAGACAGCAACCACAGATTATTGATGTAGGAGACATTTTTTCTTCGACACCCGCCTACCAGACATCAGTTTTCTGTGTCCTGTCCTAAACTGCATTAGATGTCTGTTATCGTATATCAGCGCATTCCTCGGTCCGGTAGAACAGACATACAGATTGTGGCAGATATCGTTGGTGCCTAATTATGTTCGTGTCAGTAAAATTATGTACATAAACTGACTGAGACACTTTCCAGCGAGTAAGGCATTTTGTGAAATTGCAACAAAATGTCTACACATAAAACAATGACAAAAAATGATTTGATAAGTTTTGATTATCAACTGAAAATCAAGGGATACAAACACAGCACATAGAAGAAATTCACATACAAGGGAAACAATGTAGTATATTTCTTGATATTGATCAACTGTGAAGTCAAGTTAAGCGGGAAAATACAACAGTCATTCGGCATGCGTGGATTACTCAACATCAAACAGTCTATATTATTGTGTACATCTGCATGGAGTACCTGTAACAAATTTGTGTATGAAACGTACATATATATGTTAACGTCATACATTACCCGTTATAACAAAGTCATTAAAATTTTAGAGCACACCTGGTAGACTGTTTGCTCCTGTGTAATAAACTATTCTATACGTCCTTCTTAGGACGTAATTTTTTGTTATTTGAAGCCCCACTCTGGCTTTTGCCAGGGGCCGCAATATAGGCAGGAAATACATATGGCCAAATGTCTGAACGCGGTTTATGGGACCTCTCCACGGCGATCCTCATCCGCATGGTGGCACTTTGTGTCATCGGGTGTTTATCGCTTGTGTGATGTCATGGTGGGGTAGAAAGTCAGTCAGTTCTGTGTAATTTGACTTCTCTAATTAAAAATGAAAAATCAAAGTGTACCTAATAAAACAGTTAAAAACAACTGCACGATTCCAATAGACTTTGTTCGGGGAAAATGTGATGGTTGGCCACGATTTCATTTCTTCACGATATAAACATGATTTATTGTCAAAAACGTGGCGGGAATGCTTCTCTAGTCATTTCATATGCGAACTGTAATAACGGAAATATGGTCAGTCCATGACCGGCTCTAGCTGACGGGCCGTGCTGCTGACGTCACCAGGTCGGGCTAACGATGCGATACAGGAGCAGTTCTCAAACTGCGTGCCGAGGTACCCTGGGGTGCCGTGAGCGTATGTCAGGGAAGCCGCGGCAATAATCATGAAAAGTCGGCTAAAAATTGTGAAATTTTTAAAGAAGGCATGTAGATACTTGAAAGTTAAAATTTAAGTTGTCTTTCTACGCCACTGTCGATAATAGCTTATTATTGTTTGAGAACCGCTGTGTTAAAGCATCGTTAGCCCGACCTGGTGACGCCAGCAGCACGGCCCGTCATCTAAAGCCGTTCATGGTCAGTCTAATAGGGCTAGCTGAAAAAAGGCACATGGTAATAAGAAAATACACAGAGACTACATACTAACATCAACGAACTATACCCTGCCGATGACCAGACCTTGGTAGCAGAAAGTGATACATTGCAACATTCCATACAGATGAAGAAAACTATGAAGCAAATAATATGAGAGCGATAGGAATGGGAAGCAAAATATCAGCTCTAGCAACATTTCAGACATAGATCGGTGAGTGGACACTTTTGGATCCTTGCTGAGATAGTTCTAGAGATTCACTACTGACGTGTACACGAATGACTCTTAGGGAAACAAATCGTAACACTGATTGTTAGAATGACATTTGGTGGTTCAAGTTGTCAGGATGACATTTATTGTTGCGTCTTGTCATTAGGGTGGCATTCTGGACTGTCTTTGGTGACTGAGTGGACACGGATGTTAGGGAGGAAAGTGTTCACAAGAAGTCAGTTTGCAACATTATGTCCTTCCACGTTAAAGATAATACGTATTACCAACAGGTCCCAAGACCGCACAAGGTACAACGTTGTTTAACACACTGGCAGGAAAGTAATGGAATCTTGATTGTCACATTGTCAAGAGTTGTTTAAGCATGCCTCATGCTGATATTCGTTTGGTCAAGAACGTGTACGAATGCAGGCAATTCGTCTTACAATTCTTACAGTGACTCGTCTCATCTAGTGTATGACACTGTATGAACGATCACCATACCAGCATTCGCCTGGGACATACACTGTGTTAAAAGAAACTTCAATATATACCTGCCAAACATTCGTTGTTTTAGTATCCAGAAGTCATGACTTGTTAACCCCTAGGCTCGGTATTATGGATATAGCAAACTTTCGGCCTTGATTCCATTGTAAATACCGTAAATCTGGGAGAAAATGTGGATTTCCTGCCTACCCCCGGGACTGTGCCCGGATCACAAGGAGTTCGTTACCCCGTCTCCGCGCAATCTGGTTTAGCCAACTACGCTAGAGAGCCGGGCACCAAACATTTCATTTTCATATTTCGTCTTAGTGTATTAATCAGACCGGTCTGACTGACTGACTTTCTACCCCACTAAAACATCACACAAGCGATAAACACCAGTTGACACAAAGTAATCTGGTAATCTGGTAATCCTAGTTTCAGCATCATAGCAAACGGGTCACAAAGTACCACCATGTGGATGAGGATCACCCGTGGAGATGTCCCAGAAACCGCGTTCAGAAAATTGGCCATATTTATGGCCTGCCTAAATTGCGGCCCCTGGCAAAAAGCCACAGTGGGGCTTCAAATAACAAAATATTACGTCATGAAAAGTGATTGAGGTATATGTTTCTCCGGTTGTCAGTGGCCATACAGTTTGTCCTTTCAGGTGGGACGATATTGCTAGGATATGTTGAACAACTAGCCACTATTTAACGACCAAACAAAGAACGTTTTGCAAACTGCACTAGTTGTTACAGTTTAATGCCGGCTGTTTGACCTTCAGGAAGAAATGGCAACTCAGTGCTGCTATAATTAACGACTTCAAACTAGTTCAGATGTTTTCTTCGAGAAAACAGTAAATAAAAGGTGGCTTCCCTTGTTTATATATTCTCTTTACTTTTACTGATCTCCCTTGATTACCATAATTACATTAGCACAAATATCGACTGCCTGTATCTGTCACATCCTTTAATTTGATAATTTAATGTACAATAAATCGATAAACACATGCCGTTGTCA